ATGGATTTAAGGTCACATGATTCAATGATTCAGTATATGAATCAAAATAAAATATGATCTTCTACAAGCACAAATTTGTAGAAGTGCAATGTAGTTTATCAAGTAATACCAACAATGTCCAAATAAAGTTTTGTTTCAGTGGTTATAGGTATAAGATGGCATAGTGTAAAAATTGGAAATAGGTTACTTAATTACCATATAACCTCTTGATCTCTCTGGGTTTCATTTTCCTTATCTGTAACAAGAGGGAATGCTACTATATGGTACCAAATGTTCCTTCTAGTTCTAACATTTAACAATATATGTAAATGTTGTGGAACTATTAATGAGAGATTACTTCATATAAATAGGTGACAGTTAAATGTGTAAATGAGGCAACAGTATTTTGTCATACATTTCCTTCACTTTATTTTATTAATAGACTTTATTTTTTAGTACAGTTTTAGATTCCCAGATAAACTGAGCAGAAAACTCTCATGTGCTTTTTCCTCTCATACACATGCAGCCTCCCCCACTGCTAAGATTTCATACTGAAGTGGTACATTTGTCACTACTGATGAACCTAAATTGGTATATCCATAGTTTATATTAGAACCTATAGTTCAGATTAGGGATTACTCCTGGTGTTGTATATTCCATGGGTTTTAACAGAAGTTAAAAGGACAAGTTCTTTCAATGTTTTGTCTTAATGGCCAGATCACTATGTGATGGTGTAAAAAAGCATTAAAACATTCCCCATAGTGAATGCCAAGCAATGGCATCTAAATAATAATTTTTGATGCTCTCTTAAAAAAACAGAACTAATAAACAAAAACCCTACAGATCATCCACACATGCATTACCTCAGAAACTATTCCTTGTTTATCTTTTTTCTCTATAGAAATTTAGCTATGATATTCTACACCTAGTAGATAGCAATTAACATTTGTTAATATTGAGTTGGATGATTCAAATTTGAACAAAAGAGATAAAAGATGAAAACAGGAATATACACTTGAAATTTTCAGATAAATAGTCATTCTTTGAAAGATCTTGTATGTGCCACTCCACACTGTAAAGTCTCTTTACGCTAAATGTGACAACTTTCAAAAAATAATAATAATAATAACTATTCTCTGAATAGAATGTCCTCTCTCTTCAAGCAATATCTTATTATGTGATTATTATAAAAACACATAAATACCCTCAAGGGAGGGGAAGGGAAGACTGGATAGAGCATTACTTACTGAAGATCACATTACTAACTGGAGCAATGGGCCTTTTTTGGAGGAATTTCTTCTAAAACATATTCTTCAAAGCATCAAATTCAATATTCATTCATCAGGAGGAATATGACCCAGGGGGCAAGGATTTTCAAAGCTTTTTTTTTTTTTTTTTTTTTTTTTTTCCAGTGGAAGGGACTTTTCCAGTGAAGTGATAAAAATGCTTTGAACATTTTAAACCTAGCTACAGGGTCTTCTTTCTCTTGTGGATACTATCCAGAATTGCCTCATCTGGTGAAAGAAATCCTTTCACTGCAGGAAACTTTAATTCATTAGGACCAAAACCCAGCAGGACTGAAATCTGTTAATCCTCATGAAATGCACAGGTTTGAACAATGTATTGAAAAATGTAAAACTGTGGTAATAAAATCCTATGACATAAATTATAATGGTTATACTCAAGAAATGATTCTCCTTCACACCATCTACTTATTGTAATGAGAAGGTTTTGTTTGGTTTGTTGTTGTTTAGAATAAGGATCTACTGTGCCCTTCCATTCTGTCATCTTTATCTTTGATAGATTCCTAAAGTAGGGATTATGTCACAGAAGTGAATGTCCATTAATGAAAGAAGAGGAAATAGAATATCTGCAAAGAGAACTAATAGTGAAAGAACTTATGATCAGGTAAAACATAACGGCCATGGTGAAAAAGAAAAAAAAAAAAGTTGATGCACCAAAAACTGGTTTCTCTCCTTTGTTCAGGAGCAATCTAGACATTTGCCTTCCTTCCTCCCTGAAGGGACTTCACTCAACAAAGCCAGAAAACTTATATATTGGATATAATGGTGTCGTAAATCAAGTGGCTGCAACCTTTTCTGATCTTAATACATTTTCATAAAACACAATTAGTAAAGGACCAGATTGTGAAATAGACTGAAGCACAAAAGGTACGCATAGAAGTGGTTGGAGGCTCTTATTACCACCACTGCCATCATCATCACTAGTGTTTTACTTGGTTCCTTATCTATGTACTGTCTGCTGGCCCCTAGGTTTACATATAATGACTTCAAATAGCTGGTGATATTTTTTAATATTTAAATATCTGCTCGGGGTGCCTGGGTGGCTCAGTGGGTAAGACTCTGCCTTCGGCTCAGGTCATGATCTCGGGTCCTGGGATGGAGCCCTGCATCAGGCTCTCTGCTCAGCAGGGAGCCTGCTTCCCCCTCTCTCTTTGCCTGACTGCCTCTCTGCCTACTTGTGATCTCTCTCTTGATCTGTAAAAAATAAAAACAAACAAACAAAAAAATCTACTCTCCCTACTGTTCATTATCACCATAATTAAATCCATCTTTACTAGGGAATTTTACTAACCTACTCTCTCTGTACCGAAGAAGTTAAGTAACAACTGTTCTATGCAGATCACTGAACAGAAAGTATAATATAGTCAAAAGAACATAAAAGGAAATCTTTTCTAATTAGAAGCTGAAATATAGCTTCCAGGGCATGTGTGTAAATACATATATATTACATACACACATATATCACATATGTGTATTTTTACAATTTATTACTTTCTATTATTAGGTATCACTACTATTTTCACAGCTCCCATATATACCAGGCACTGGGCCAAGCATTTGCATACATTAATCTTAATATTCCCATACCCCATAAAGTGAGGTAGCTGAGCCTCAGAAATATCAAGTAACTTACATCACGGGGTAGTAAGATGGTGAACGGGCACCAGAATCCGAGTTGTTGCAAAAGTCTTGCCTCTTCCTACTATATGTTTTCCTGGCCCCAGGTCTCCAACCCTCTGATTCAAAGTAAGTTTTGCATTGCTGTTTTCTGATTAACAATAGGGATTTAGATACATTCTTGAACATTCTAATTTTATATGACTATTCTATATGCCTACATCCTTATACATTAAGAAGAAATAGATTTTCTAAAAACAATTTCTTCCTAGGAATTAAATTTAAAAATATGGCAGATACGATATAAAGAACACAAAGTTTTGACTAACAACCAGGAATTTCTCTGGGGGAAAAACTACGTTGATGCAAAATAAGTTTATTATGATATTATTATTGGAAATCTAGAAATAGGGAGAGTACTATTCTCTGCAAATAAAAATATCCTCTGTCGTGGTACATTCTACGAAACTTAACTATTTTGCGGCCACTATAAAGCCTCAGAGAGTGAATGCAATTTATGCAAATAATCAGTTTACCCATAAGAAAAAAGAGATGTACTAATGATCTAACCAGGACATTTACAACACCAAATGTTTTAATATCATACCTCACAGAAATTTTCAAATACTTCCAAAAATCATTATGAAGTCTTTAAAAGAATCAAATACGTGATAACAGCTGAAACAAGGGATTATGTGTACTTACAAAAAATATATGCATATATACATGACATCTTTTCAAGAAGTTCAAGTATTCTTAGTTTTGCACTGACTAAATCCTATATGATGAAATTCTAAAGAATAAGATGCATGTAATTAAAAGGGAGGGTAGATTATGCATGGTAGGATAGTGAGCCTTCCGTGTATAATGAGGTTTGATCAAACGGCCTTGCTTGATCAAAAATCACATTGTGATTTTGGCAAAATTTACATATTGCTCAACAAAATATACCATATTTATCTGAATTTCCTTTTAAGAAGGGTCCTTTTTAAAATGTAGGAAGTTTGGCCTGTATATGATTCCAAACATTTGATACAAAATTTACTTAAGAAAAGTCATCTTTGAAATATTTGTGAAGATCCCCAGTAATTCATTAAATTGTAGCCAGGAATTTCATTAACACGTGATTAAACAAAATGTGTTATAGCTGAGGGGAAAAAAAAAAGCTTACAACCAGAATTCCACATACTGATGCGTAAAGATTTTTTTAAGATTATAAATAAAAGAACGACCTGCTTTTTAACATTAGATAAAATTAAGTCTTCACAAGTACTGAAAAAATACTGCAAACATACATGTACATCTTCAGCACGAAAACCTTAATATGGGAAGCATATGATTTAGCTCGAGGAGAGGTAGAGAAATTTGCTTTTATAAGTTTAGACACACAAATGTAGAATTATAGATCTAAGTATAAATCCAAGAAGCATATCTAATGCTTATACTATGTCTGAATTTAGCAATTAGCACACACACACACAAAAACACATTTTCTTCAATAAATTGGGCAGTGTCTACCATCAATTTCCAATCAGACATTTATATTAGCTACAGGAAAATGTTAGTGTCTGATCTTTTTTCAACATTTGCTAAAACAAGACGATAAGATAAAATCTGACTCCAAAATAATACATACCATATTCAAAAGTAATTTAAATGGCACAGCATCTATAATTGTTCACTTATTTGGAATTCATTTGCTACTATCTATATTAGAATAGTTAATCATTCTGACAATGTTTTAAATTATGTTATACGTATATAGTCAATCAAAATGTTTTGTATATCTTTATATCCGTAATTGAATAAAAGTAAAAGTGTCATTTAAAAAATTACAAATAAAAATGAAGAAACCAAATGCCAATCATGGCATTTTAATGTCCTTGCAATTCAAATGCTATACTTTAGGAAATTTTTACTTGATTTTTTCAGGAAAACATACTTAGAACAATTTGTATTAGGCTTAAATATTCATTACTAATTTGCTTTCTTATTCCACATCTTGACTATCAGAGTACAGAGGGAAAGGTTATACTGCCATCAGACATAATAAATCAAGTGAAAACATCATACATTAATTATGAATAAAAAATTATTTACCTGCATGGAAATCTATCCCAACAGCAAATGAAGTTCCTGATATAGGTATCAAAGCATCCATTTTGTCACTTGGTTCCAGAGGTATTCCCCTGATTCCTTCATGAACAGAGTACATAAGAAATGACTCTATACCTAATTGGAAAAAAAGAAAGAAAGAAAGAAAGAAAGAAAAAGAGAAAGAAAGAAAGAAGAAAAAAAAAAGCCCCAAGAGAATATTTAAAATTAAAATTATTCTATTAACATTATTTCAAAGTCTTAATTTTTTCATAAAACATGTTCCTTAGCCTTTTTTAAGTTTTTAACTGAATACTACACTTCTGACTAATTGAAAGGTAGATAGATTAGTGGCTCTCAAACTTGAGTATGCACCAGAATGTTCTAGAGGACTTGTTAAAACACAGATTACTGAGGTCCCCAACCCAGGGGCCTAATAATTTGAATTTTTGAAAAGTTTCCAGGTAGTGATGGCACTACTGGTCTGGGAACCATACTTTCATAAACACAGAGGCAGATAATTTTGGAAAACATACCTGGCCTCACAACCCAAAATTCACCCCCTCTTTTCTAATATCCAATTATCTTATTGCTTATATATGATAAACTTTGAGTGTATATATGATTTTACATAGCTACAGAGTTGTTAGTTTTCTAATAAAGTTAATCTTCTTAAATCATTTTGAACACTAAAAATATACCAAGTACTTAATTTTTGCTAATACCTTGCTGTTATAGCTTCAAAAGTATGTTCTAAAATATGCACAGACATAAAAGCTGACTACCAGAAGTCTGCATGCTGATACTTATGAATTTTTCTAATACGCCAGAACATATTTTTAGGCACATATTTTCCTTTTCTCCTTCTTCTTATTCTTCTTTTTTAAGATTTATTTACTTGGGAGAGAAAGAGTGGGCACGCACGTGTGGGGGTGGGGACAGAGGGCATGGAGCTGGATGCTAGCTAGATTCCATGGCCTTGAGATCACGACCTGAGCCAAAACCAAGAGTCAGAGGCTTAACTGACTGTACCACCCAGGCACCCCAGGTTGAAACCTGTTTTTTAGTAAAATTAAGTCATGATCATTGGATAAAAAGATCATTCTAGAATCAAATTTCTTTGGAACTAAGCACTAGAATCTATGAAACGTGAAATAGGAAGATGGGTGTTTTAGGTTTTAGTTCTTTGGCAATGATCTTCTCTCTCAGCTAACCAAATCTAAGCCCTCACCACTTCTCTTGTATCTTTTTTTTCAAACAGTTAAAAGAATAACTGAATTCAGATTGAATCGTAATAGTTACCAGTCACTGCTTTTTACTTCAGCCCTTACTTATTCAAGTTGAAAGTAGTTTCTACTGGGCTTGCTTAAAAGTTTGATGATAAACTGCGGTTCCGGAAAATAACTAATTATGACCTTTAAAGAGCAGTAATACTTAAAACTTTTTAGATGGTAACAATCTTATATATATGAGACTAAGCAGTGAACCATTGTTCTAATAAGACACTAATGTTATTTTTTCTATTTTTAAACTAATTTTTGTGGCCTAAAATTTGCATTGATAAAGTAAATGCATCAGAATTAAATTTTCCAAGACCTTATACCTTGACATGACATGCGGTTCTTTTGGAGATAATATCCCACTGTACACATGCAGGTCCTTGTGGTTTCAGATGTTGGTAAGCAAAGTTGAGAGCATCTGCCATTATTTAGTTGGCAAGAATTGCTGCCTGCATAGGAGGAAAACAAGCAAAAGAAATATTTAAGAAAAATAAAAAGTATCATTTGATAGCAATAATTTGAACAAATATTTATACTTCTGTTGATTTATAAATGCAGCTGCTTCATCGAGGTTAGTATGATGTTTTACTGTCTTGAATAATTTGAAATGGCATAATGCAGTTGAAGTCTGCCCACCCAAAAAAAGTAAATGGAGGTCTGATGTGTGGCATAGTGATTATCCACAGCAATACTGTAATTAATTTACAGTATCAATTAAACTTTGATTACAATTCAAAGTTGCTAAGAGACTAGATCTTAATTATTCCCACCACAAAAACAAAATGATAATATATGATGTGATAGAGAGGTTAGCTACGGCTAAGGTGGTAATCATATTGTAATATACAAATGCATCAAATCAGCCCTTTATGTCCCTTAAACTTGTGCAATTTTATATGTCAATTAGATCTCAAAAAATAAATTTTAAAATAAATAATTAGAAACAGTTTTTTAAAAAGCAAATGACAATGCATGAGAAGATTCAGGGCTACAGAAAAGCAAGTGAAATTGGCTTGTCATGAATGCTATCAGACTTGCAATATTTTAAGATCACAGAAACTAGGAAATATTTTATTATGATTTTATTATGATATTTCATTTCAACTCTATAGTTACTTCCTTTTCAAGAATATTTTATCTAAATGTGTCAAATCAATAGCTGTTAAATTATACTACTAACTCAATGTGAAGATTATGGCATTAAAAGAAATGAGGTATATACATATTTAAATAATTTTTAAAGCAAGAAAATAAATTTTGCTATTCCTAGGAACATAATTCTCCCAAAATATATTTAAAACACACCCGTAAGAGTCATCTAATTAATTGGCATATTAATTCTCCTTATTCCTGCATAGCAGCAATGACAAATATTAGTCAGGTAATCACAGGTACGCATTCTATAAAGATGTTCCATTGAATTTACTAGGCCCAATGTGCTAATTAAGGTTGGTAGCGTGACGTTAAGAAATTTACAGTCTTATCCAGCAAGTTCATTAAATATCCCATTTTTACAACATTTTTATTATTCGAGGACATGCAGTACCGTTTACTGGATGTTCAAGCTCTAATATGAAGTGCAATAAATCCAGTGAGAATTACAAAGCGTGATGAAAGCTATATATCAATAGTGCTCTATGGAAAATTCAAAATACCAATGCAGCTCATTATTTCTCATCTCCTGAATTCAAAATAGTCTGATGGGATTTAATTGTTCAATTGAAGCTGTAGTGAGTTCTGTCACTTTTGAAGTGTGAAATACTCCCAACTTGGGAGATTTCTCATCTGGAGATTTACCATACTTTGCTCATTTCCTATAGTTACCAGTTCAGTCGACGTTGGACTCCATCCTATACAAGGCCACATGCTAGGCCTAGGGTTGCCCTGTGAAATTACTACTTTTATCTCCTATATAAACTAATGAAGGTGAATTGACTTATTCCCTCTTTCCTCAAGCTGACTTATATACTAAGATAAAATTTCAGATCTCTGATTATTTTAATGAAAGAGTTATATTTTCAGATTTACAATAATCTATACTGACCTTATACATATTATAAATTATAGAAAACACATAAACATATATTAATGCAATGCCAAGCTATGGAAATTTGCATTTTGATATTGATTTATTTCAACTACTATAAAGACTGAAAAGCTGAGAAGAGATTGAGAAGAAATGTTTTAACTAGAGAGCATGAAGAAACATCAACTGGAAAGAAGGGGAAACGAGGAAATTGAAGTTAATAAAAAAATAGATTCAGGAAGAGAATGAAATCACAAAAGAGAAATAGGGTTCTATAACCTTGGTGATATTAAATATATGTTAAAAACATAAGAAAAGGAACTTCTGGAACTGCATTTTTAAATATAATTACAATAATAGCAGTATATTGTACCATACTTATTTTTGACAAATAATATAATTAGCCTATGTTAACAATTATGTTGTACAATATACATTTCATGTATCACTTGTTTAGTCTCTACTAGTGAAGAGGAGAAATAGGGGAAAAAAAAGATTAAATGAGTCACTATTTGCAATAAGTATCTTTGCCTAACCAACAATGAATTGATGTAGGAAAAAATATTAGAGTGGTTTTAAAGACAGTAATTTAGGTAGTGATTATCTGGCACATTTGAAATACCAGCTTGGCTTAATATTTTGCAATGAGACTGATGTCCAAACTTCATGCCCCAATTCCCCAGTGGAGGTAGAGAGTCCACTTGACTAACGAGAAGTCTCAGCTCTTTAGTGATCTACGTCAAAAGTGATAAATGAAGTAGCTAATTGTACTTTGAAATCCAAAGAGGTAGTAATGTTAACACCTTAAATAATTCTAAATTGCTCATATTTCATACTAATGAAGCTTTTAAGGTACCTGCCATGATTCTGTTAATGTGATTCTCTCTAATACAAATGCTTTCATCAGCACAGTCTTTTAGTAAAAATAGTATTTGCACTGAATTTTAAGCTTAGTCATATTATACCATTAATTCCCAAGTATTACAGGTCCTTGTCAAGTTAGGAATACTTTCACAACGTGTAAAATACCCAAATCTACCTGTAGTATTAAACATTTACAAGATGAGGAAAATTTTGTTATCATGAGTAAAAAACATAATACAAGAAAGTTTTCCTCCAATAAACTTTTTGGTGTTGTATCTGGGAAAACTCTATAAATTATATTAATTTACAATTTCAAGAAAACCATGTGCTTTTTCATATTTTGAAAAAGAAGGAATAAATTTTTCAATGTCCTGTTTGGAAGCAGTACATCTCTCCCTCTGTTGTATTTTCTAATGCGTTTTCAGATATAATCACATTAAGTACAGACTATGAACTAAAGTTAACCACAGTACTATAAGCTTTTATACTTTGCAAATATATTCTATTAAAATCCACAAAAAATGTCATGGTGTTTTATTTTTTGAGTACCAATGTTTTATTCTCAATGATATAATCTATTCCCCATGGCTTGAATGCCAGAAAAATTATTTTGATTACAAATTTGTTAGTCAAAATGCTCCTGTTCATTATTATAGATAGTTATTATTATTTTTTTTTAATGTCAAAGGGGCACCTAGTTGGCTCACAGTCTGTTAAGCCCCAGACTCTGGATTTTGGGTCAGGTAATGATCTCAGGGTTGCGAGATCTGGTTTCGTGTTGGGCTCCCCCTAGGGGTGGAGCCGAAGTGAGATCCTCTCTCTCTCCCTCTTTCTGTCCCCCATCTCCTTCTCTAAAAAATAAATAAATAAGACTTTAAAAATTATTTTTTTTTAAATCAGAGAGAAAATACAGATTTGTGCATAAAGTACAGGTATTAGTGTCTTCTAAACCATGAAAGGAGCCCAGTAATCACTTAATTATTTGTTTGTTTGTTAAAGCAATTATTTTCTTTCTTTTTTTTTTTTCCATGAAATTTCAGGAATGATTTCATACTAGAATTTGGCCCATGCTCTGTCCAGGGAAGGCAACCATGAATCTGGTCTTCCTTTTATGTCTGGATGTGCAGGTATGGCTCCCAATTGGTATTGCCAATAAATTCTGTCAATTGATGTTTGTTACCTATGTTCAGAATTAGTGATCCTCTTGGTTCACTAATTCTGTCTCTACTGTTCTCTGCTTTGGTCTATATGCCCAGATCCTTCAGATGAAAATTCCTTTACATTTTCTTGAAATGTTTTTCCTAAGAAGAAAAGTATGTGAAGCTAAGGATTTTCATAGCAGAAACTAAAGTAATAAAGTAAAATACAGAAAAATATTTTTTCTAAGAAAAGAGTTCTGCTAATGTCATGGGTCATGAAGCAAAAACTAAGAAAGGACTAGCAGGTGTGGGGCTGTCCTGGCTGGCATCTCTAAAGTAATTGCCATTTGGCAATGTGACAAGTCCACCTATGTAAACCATCTGTTCGTTCTCTCACTCCATTTCACTGCACACCATTTGGACAAGCAAAAACAAAAAAGTAAAATGCTTAGAGCCAAACAATGCAGTGTTTTTGGATGCAAAATTCTTACGTTGACATAGTCCATTTGAAGTCCCCTCATTCCTTCAGTTTCGGGGCTTAATTATACATTGTCTGTATCTGGCTGGGATTTATTTTTCTCATTCTTACATTTTTAAATCAAGAACTAGATAAGACCTCTTTGAAGACCTGACAAATTAAGATCCCTTGGGAGCCCTTGCTAACATTTTAAAAACTCATTATATACCTTATGTTAAGGGCATTTCTTCTGCAGTAATAAGGAGCATTTGCTCCTTATTTATTTATTTATTTTTTTAACTAGAAGCAAAATACAAACCTTTCACTTGTTGAATTGAGAAAATAATATGAAAAGAAGAGAACATTATATATTCAAAAAGTGGCACAAATTCATTACAGTGTGACTTGCCTTGCTGTGCTTCTTTATCATACACTTTCATATGAACAACCCCAGAAGTCTTATTTCGCAGGACAGTGGGGTTTCTTCCATCTCTTTTGCTGCAGGTTCCCAGCTGAGCTAAGTTTTGGTCTGCCCACCACAGTTTCTTATCTATAAAAGTGAAAAGATTTCTTCTTTGAAAAAGATATTCATCTTATTAAATAATAGTAAACAGCTATTAAAGTATAATACTTTTTGATTTCTTTTGTTATATTCCCAAAATCTGTTTCTAAGGGAAGCAATGAAATCACTCTCACTCTTTAAAAAATACAAACCACAGTGATATATTATTGTTTAAATTTTCCTCCCTCCTCCCCAATTAGAGGCTCTTGCCTTAACTTTTCTTTTTCTTAAAAGAAAATTTCACATGCCATATAAATAAAAGCATATTCAAATTAATATAGAATTCAGATTATATTATTTACATACTTAAATATGATCACAGTAGTACTGTATTAATCTGTAAATGAACATCAAAATCCAACCAAATATCCAAACAAAACTTATTAAAAAAAGACTATATACTCTTTGTTTGCAATATGGAAACTTTTAATAATTAGTACTCCCTGCTATTGAATTCCTCATAGTAACATCTTTTATTTTTTTGCACTGCTCATGCCCCTTTCTTCAAAATTTTAATAATGTAAACTGCTCGGTGTATGTGTTGAGTGCATGTATTGAATATTTTTTGTGGGGTGCATGTATTGTATTGGATATCTCTCTTAGAAGAGACCCTGCAATGTGCCACAGATTTAAAAAAAAAAAAAAAAAGAGTCTTGACCTTAAGGAAGCTAGCATGCTGGTGAAAATGATACATTTGTCTACGGCCATACCACCCTGAAGGCGCCCAATCTCGTCTGAAAATGATACATTTATTATTATTTTATTTCAAATTATTATACCAAAACTAGAAGGAATGTATTACCAGTCTCATTTTATAGATGAAACATCTAAGATTCATAGAGATTAACTATCTTAATCAAATTTATATATTTGGTCTTCCTATCTCCAAAATTTGGTTCTTTCTAAGACTCCATGCAGAATGCATAAAAATTTTAAGAAAGGCAATAATTCAAAATAAAGTTCATAATTATAAAGGTTTTGAACAATTTAGACTTTTCTTGAAAAAGCTAATTAATCAGGCTGTCTGGGTGGCTCAGTGGGTTAAGCCTCTGCCTTCAGCTCAGGTCATGATCTCAGGGTCCTGGGATCAAGTCCCGCATCCGGCTCCCTGCTAGGCGGGGAGCCTGCTTCCTCCTCTCTCTCTCTCTCTCTCTCTACTTGTGATCTCTCTCTATCAAATAAATAAAATCTTTAAAAGAAAAAAAAAAGCTAATTAATCACAATTAGGACCACCTCAATTTCTACCTAGAAGTTAAAGGTTATTTAATTGTATGAACAAAACAACATAATCTTTACTTTCACCGTACATTTATTCTTATTCAAATTCTACTATATTTAGACTGAACCAAAGCCTAGTTTCAGATATTGCAAGGAGAGTAATACAGACATCAACAATGATAATCCCTTACCGAATTTGATTTTGTGCAATGCACAATTCTAAACACTACAGATTACTTCATTTAATCTTCACAACAATTTTATTAGGTAAGTACTACTATTATTAAACCATTTTGCTGAAGAACACTGAGACAAAATGAGGCTAAATAGTTTTCCCTAGGTCATACAATACATAGGAGCCCAAATTATAGAACAAACCCCAGTTTTAGAGCCCATGGTGTTAAATTAACTCTAATGTCCTCTTTTCATTGATAGATGTTTAGTCTTCTCTCTCTTACATGGATATATATATATATTATAAAATATATATATTTGTTACATATATATTATATATATATATATATACTCACTAATCTAAGTGCATATGATTAGTGAGTAGCGCATTCATTTAGGTTTTGGTTTATACTCCTGAATTGACATAAGACCAGAAAAATTTCCTCTGAAGAAAATGAGTAAAGACTTTTAATATAGGGGCGCCTGGGTGGCTCAGTTGTTAAGCGTCTGCCTTCGGCTCAGCTCATGATCCCAGGGTCCTAGGATCAAGCCCCATATCGGGATCTCTGCTCAGCAGGAAGCTTGCTTCTCCCTCTCCCACTCTCCCTGCTTGTGTTCCCTCTCTCACTGTGTTTCTCTCTATCAGATAAATAAATAAAATCTTTAAAAAAAAGATTTTTACTGTAGAGTTTATTAAAAGTTGTACCGTATAGTAAATTAGACTGGATACATGTGTGTTCCCTTTCAATTCTTACAATATGTCACTGTGATAGAAATACAGAAACACAAAGCAGAAAAACCCATGTATAAACTCATAAAATAAACAACAGAATTGGGGCATATGAGTAATACATAAAAGATGGTATATAAGTGGAAATGGGAAAATAGGCAAATAGGCTAAGTTGCAACCTGGATCATGATTTTTTCCCCCTCTCAATTTTCATTAATTCATCACTCAATTTTATTATACTACAATTAAAAATAAAAATAAGATAAAATAAAATCTGATTTTTAATCCCTCTCCATAGAACTCTGGATGACCTTTATTTCAGCTTGTAAATAATACAGTGGGAATGTTAATAAAGGCTAAAAATAGAATAATCAAGTGAAGATATTTTATATGTAATATCACCTACTATCACCATCTCCCCAAACCCTTGCACTGAGTTTACAGAGGATTAGTAACTGATAGAAGTCTCAATTAAATATATAACCATAGCTCTTTTTAAAAATACTCAGCAAAGAGGTTTGGAATATGGAGTCTGGTGCCCTGAATAATGTTCTCTTCATGTTAGCATTGGGGGACCCAAAATCTGACCCCTAGCTCCCAACAAAAGCAAAAACTGCAAGTCACAGTGTCCAATTCTATGCACAGCTCCCAATGAGAAACCCCCTCCCCAAAAAGATATGGAAAAAAAATATTTTTATTTTCATGAAGGAGGAGAAAACCCATGATAGACACCAGCTCTATTTTGTTAGACATTATAGGAAACCAAGAACCTCCAGTTCAATGAAAAAAGCCAGTAGAGTAAAAAGTAAACACTTAGACAGACATAAAGACACATAAACATAATTCAAAAAAAATCTTAAAAAATTATCAAAGATATTTAAACACATGTCTTGTTCTAGAAAAATTAAAGATACTGAAACAAGGAACAATGAAAGACAAACTCTTAGGACATTAAAAAATACATGGTTGAGAAAATCTTCCATAATACAGAGGAAAAGGGCAAATAGATAACATGGTAAAAAAGGAAGGACAAGTTGACTATTAGTCTTAAATATCACATAACCAGCATCACAAATCTGATAAGGAGTCACTGGATTCTCCACTGCTATGCATTTACAGAAAAAAAAAAAAAAATCAGCCAGTTTTACATAAGGGTGTCGTTAACTGAACAGTAAAAGCATTAATTTTATTAAATCTTGATCCTTCAGTACATGTCTTTTTAATATTCTGTGTGGCAAAATGGGAAGTGTGCATAAAGCATTCTGCAGCACGCTAAAGTATAATTGTCTGGAAGAAATGTATTTAAGAGATTGCTTAAGCTGCAAGAAAAATTAGCTACTTTTTTCTCTTTAAGTTTTTATTTATATTCCAGTCAGTTAACATACAGTGTAGTATTAGTTTCAGGTGTAGAATTGAATGATTCATCACTTACATACAATACCCAGTATTCATCACTACATGGGCCCTCTTTAAAACCCATCACCAATTAACCCATCCTTCCACCTACTTCCCCTCCAGTAACCCTCTGTTCTCTATAGTTAAGAGTCTGTTTCCTGATTTACCTCTCTCTTTTCCTTGTCTTTTCCCTTCTTCTCTTTCTTTCTTTCTTTTTTTTTTTTTGAAAATTAGCTAGTTTTTTTCATAGACTACCATTTTTTTTAAGATTTTACTTATTTATTTGACACACAGAGAGAAAGCTTGCACAAGCAGAGGGAGCAGCAGGCAGAGGGAGAGGGAGAAATCAGGCTTTCCACTGAGCAGGGAGCCTGATGCAGGACTCAATGCCAGGACCCCGGGATCACGACCTGAGCCAAAGGCAGCCGCTTAACCAACTGAGCCACTTAGATGTCCCCACAGAATACCGTTCTTTACTTGAAAGAACAACTGACAGACAATCTATGCCTATTCATACGTAGGTGTTTGGCAGATATTTCTCAAAAATGAATGAAGTGGAGAAGAGGGTTGAAGGACTGAAAATATCCAACTTCAGAAATTACTAAAAAGTTACAGTAATTAAGACAATGTGGTACTGGTAGAAGAATAGACAAACAGATCAATGCAACAGAATAGACAGTCCAGAAATATACCCCTATAAATATAGTCATCTGATTTTTGACAAAGGAGCAAAGGCAATGCAATGGAGCAAAGACAGTCTCTTAAAAAATGGTGTTGGAACAGGTGGGTGTCCACATACAAAAGAGTGAATCTAGATACAGACCTTACACCCTTCACAAAAATTAACTCAAAATGGAACATGAATCTAAATGTAAAGTGTAAAATTATAAGACTCTCAAAAGATAACAGGAGAAACCTAGATGACTTGGGGGAAGGTGATGCCTTTTCAGTTACAACATCAGAGACATAACCCATGAAATAAATAATTGATAAAAGTAGACTTATTAAAATTAGAACTTCTTTGCAGAAGAAAATATCGGTACTTAGAAGACAAGCCACAGACATGGAGAGAATACTTACAAATGTACATCTGATAAAGGACCATTCTCAAAAATATACAAAGAAATCATAAAATTCAACAATAATAAAATGAATCACCCAATTTTTAAAAAAATGGGCCAAAGGCATTGACACTTCATCAAAGAAGATATGCAGATGGAAAATATGCATATGAAAAGATGCTCTGCGTCATATGTCATCAGAGAAATACAAAGTAACATAACAATTAGATACCACTAGACACCTATTAAAATGGCTAAAAATCACTGACAACACCAGTGAGAATGTGAACCAGTAAGAACTCTCATTCAATGCCGGTAAGCATGTAAAATGGTACACCTATTTTGGAAGAATATTTGGTGGTTTCTTACAAAATTGAAAATACTCTTACTGTATGATCAGCAATCTACTC